TTCGTATCAAAAGAAGGAAATAGGGAGAAATGTTGTGTGAGTTTTATATCCTGAAGAATTAATAAACAGACACCCAACCTTAAGATTTAAAAGCACATAATCCCTGTATTTAATCTTGGTCATGTAAACCACAAAAACATTTTCAGAACTCAGAAAGACATTTAAATGCACCAGCACATTCCTACTAATGATTTTGTGAAAAGAATAGCCTACATTACTCCATTAAATAATTAATTGCTAGTGCAAGTGTAACAGGCCTTATGGGTCCAGTGTGTCAGGAGATAAAATTAATTAAGTTAAGAACAGAGAAAATTGTAAAGTCAGCAACAAGTGGTGTGTTTCCTGCTTTCTTTCTAGCTGGTAAAGTACAGAAACCTCTAAACCAGAGGTTCCCAAAATTTGCACTTTCTGACTCACATAAGGGTACCAGAGCCGTCTCATGGCACAATCACCTGGTTTAGCATACCAAATTTATCACAAAATCAATTAACCAGTGGTGTAAAATTCTTACAAACAACATCAACAACCAAAGTAGGTTTCATCCATTTTCAAATTATGCTTTTAGACATAAGCACTTTAACGTAAATGTTTATTGCATAGTTTAATTTCTATAGAGAATCTTAAGACCCCAGTCTGGGTGATTGTGGGGTCATAACCCCAACTGAGGGAATCGATGACCTCCGGTCAACAGTAACAACACTATTCTGTGTAGTAAAGGAACTCCAGATTGCTGTGCTGAATCTGGACAGCCTTAGCCCTTCCGAACGTTATTACGGGACAGAACCATTTATGGATGATGCTTGTCAAATTGATTCTACATCCTTACAGAATGTTATGGATGAAGCCTAAAACAAATTAAGTTTTGTAAATTTTCAGGTACATCCTGATAAATAAAAAATGTTTTGTTGTTCAACTCCGTCAGTTGGGCTGTGCCTATACAGTTGCCCAAAATCTCAAAGGATTGTGGGCAACCGTAAAGCTCCTAGGCAGCATAGGAAGTAGGTCCTTATGCTAAATATACTATCGAAAGGAAGCGACCTGCTTCATCTTTCTACATGCCCCTCCTTCCTTACTGCCTGAGTTTTAGGACGGCCCTTATTATGGTGACCACTGATGCACTTTTACTTGGCTTAAGTGCCTTTACTGATTTGCCTGATTTGAATAGGGCCAATGCTCTAAACCAAAGCTTCCCAAACTGTTCAGCCTCTGACCTAAAAATGGTACTAGTGTCGACAGATGACCCAAACTATTGGTTGAATATACAAATACTTCTTCAAAATGAATTAACCACTGAATCAAACACAATGAAAACCAACAACTAACGTATTTGGTTTTGCCTGTTTGAGTGATGATTTTACATCTTTAAGCACTTTGACAACAATGTTTATTATTTAGTTTAATAGTGGATATCAAGATCCTAAACTGGTTGATCAAGGATCCCATATATGGTCACGACCCAAACATTGGGAATCAGTGCTCTAACACAGTGATTCCCTTGTACCCCTATTGGTCCACGGGTGCATTGCAACGGGTAAAAGAAAATATTTAATTTCTTACTTAGTAAAACCTAATAGAGCTGGGGTCTGTTTTGTTTTGTGAGGACCCAATAAAAAAATAAAACCAGCCTTTTTTCAAACAAAAAGTAAGTTTTTTTTTTTTTGATTTTTTTTTTTCACCTTCAGCTGTGACACACATCAAAACCAAGCAGAGGAACAGACTGAATGTAGAGAACAGCCTGAGATCAGCTGTTTTTCACACTGGGCTGTCAGAGGTCATCAAAGCAGCTCAGGTGTCTTGATGAAAACAAAGTAAAACTAATTAAGTCAGTCTGACTATAATTTTAGTTCTGTTTTGTTCCCAATTCCTCAAGTTTAAATGTGATTATAAGGGAGTTACAAAGATGAGCTCCAGTTTTATAAACACAAGTTTATAATATGATTTTATTTTTTATTTATTTTGATTGCTTACTATCATCTAGGCAACATATTTACTTTGTTTTTTACTTGAAATTAAATGCTCAGATTAGAAGATTTTGTGTATTAGTTTTTATGTCATAATCAGTTCTTATATATTCCACTTTTGGACACTCATCAATAGTTGTGACTGAGAGGGGTAGCAATGGTGACACAAAATGCCCAAAGGGGCACACAAGTCAAAAAAGGTTGGAAAACACTGCTCTACCAAGCAGGATAACACTGATGTACTGTCCCCTCCAGTGGACTTAATCGGTACTACACAGTCAGTTTAGTCACAGTCACTTGAGGAAAAGCAAAACTGCACCTATTTATTTAGGGGTTTTTTCAAAGTTGAAAAATATTGCTACATAAGTTAAAAAATGCAGTATATAGCAAACATGTGATAAAACAATAATGTATGTTAAAATAGCTCCTGAGTCCTGGCATTGGAACTCTAGCATTCAGGAGTTCAGCTCATTCTATAAACAAATTTAAAGAAGGTTAAAGGTGTGGTACTGATGGGGGAGTTACTTGGAAAAAATAGATAAGATGAAAAAAAAAAAAAGTTGTAGATGCAGCATAATGGGGTGGTACTCTATGGCCGTACAATTGTAGCAAAGGTGGGCTTGGGTTGCAGTGATTCCTCCCAGGGATAAGTTGACTTTGTGGGCTCAAGGTTACCTGTGGTGGTGTTTATTTATGATTTGTGCAGTAATCAAACACAAATCAACACAAAGATTGTTTTATATATATGTAGATTCAGTTGTTGATAGGCTTAAGGTCCCAACAAGTTAATTTATATGCAATAAAAACAAAAAAGATCTTTTTATCTGCTGTGCTGGAGAAGACAAGACTTTTTACTTGTTTAATGCAAATGTCAAGGACTCGTTTTGATAAATCCGATCCAATTTTTTTTTCTCTGCTCTGAGTATAAACCCTTTTGTAAAAGAAAACCTTTTATAAATTATAAAAAGATGTTCACAGGAAGCTAAAGAAGCCCTGCAAGTTTTTCTTTTTTTTTTTAGGCTACAGGCTTGGATGCACTGTGTCAGCCAAATGAAGAGGTCATCAAAGCATTGAATGTGTATGACTATAAACCTCTGTGTGGACATCGTCCCCACCAGAACAGTAAGATGCTTCCCCAATGATAAAAACCTGGATCACCAATGATCTGAAAGAACTGCTAAAAAAAAAGAGTAATGACAACATTTAACTGCTGTTTGGGATCAATACAATATTTTCTAACTGAACTCATTTGAAATAATCAGAAAGAAAAAAACAGAGAAAAGAGGAAAGTTAGATTTAGATAAGTAACTGGCCTGAGACCTGGCCATTCAGACTGAAATATCAATGTCAGCAGCGCCCTCTTTTGAATATTAAAGGTATGTTTTTCCATTTCCCAAGCAGGTATGAACCCTTTGACTTTACCTTCAGACCTAAGTTTTATCTCTTTTAAAGATCCAGAAGATGTGAGAGGAACTAAAATTAAACACAACAGCAGAGAGAAGCTTTGCAGGTGACATTTTGGATGGAAAAAGTGTTTATAGTTAATTTAATTTACTCATCCTGATTTTAAAAATGAAAAAGTTATTTATTCACCTCTTGTCCTGAGAAAATCTCCATTCAGTCTATGGAACATGGAGCACATTAGGTCCTCTGTCCACTTATATTAACTTATTTTTTTTAGCTGCTTTATGATTGGAAATATGCCTTAATTTTTAATTGTGCTTATAAATAAAACAGTTTCTCACTGAGTGTTTATCTGTCATCTTAAATTAGCTCATGTGATTATGAAACAGAGAACTTAATTTGAATCACTTTGGGACTTTTGTTGCTGTTGATTGTTTTTCATCATCATCTCTAATCGCATACATGAGGCTGTAACTAACCCTAAACCAAATAAAGCAGGAAGTATACTCCTTTCCCCCCCTCAGCTTTTAGACACAACTAGCATTCTAACATTCTTTTGATTGTTAGAATTAAAGACATTTCATCCCAGCACTGCTGGTCCCGAGCCCGTAATATAAATGATCCCTCACACCCCCACCATGGACTGTTCTCCCAGCTGCCCTGTGGGAGGAGGCTTCGAAGAATCCGATGCAAGACCAGCAGATTCCATAACAATATCTTCCCCACTGCCATTAGTTTGCTGAAGGTTATGTAAAATGGGTTATTTTACTGTATTTTATTATATTTATTATATTTTATTATAAAAAATAAAATGTAAAGATACAGTCATATGTTTAAATTACTGTTTTTATGTATTTTTTTTTACTCTTTTCAAGACTGCACTTTAAAAAAATGAAATTGTCTAGAAAGCTGTTCTTAACAAAATGACAAAATCAATCTGTATAGGCTTAGACTGCTGGAGGACATAGGGACCCTTTTTCATCATTCTGCATCAATTTATCTCTGTTCTCCCACTGAGCAGAATTTGTTAGTTCAATCTCTAACACTATGCTCTCTCTGCTTTTTCTCCTAGAAGCTTCATCTGGTCTGTTCCTGTTTGCTGTGACACCATCCTGGAGAGAAATATCAGCTGTGCTGCTGCCATCAACACCTTTGTTTATAGATGTTGGAGTTGTCCAGAGTCTGGTTTTTCCTCTCCACTGTTGCTACAAGCATGCTTAGTGTGAGGGACTTCCTTCAAGTCAATGAGTCCATGCAATCAGCTGGTTTTCCTTAGATAGAAAACTTCAATCTGACTGTATTATCTGGATGAAATGTCTCTGTAAAGTGTCTTGAGATGAAGTATTGTGAACCAGCACCATATAAATAAACTGAATTGAATTGAAATATATGAAGAATTTTTATTCTATTCTACTCTTCTTTATTTGTCATACAATTTTCTTTCTGGCATCCCAGCACTCTCAATATAAACAATATGAAAAGACTAAAGTAATGATTAACAAAAAATGCTAGCATAATTTTACTGTGATAGTCACTGAATGGGGGATTTGTAATTTCCTTTAAAGGAAAATTGAGTTTTATTTTGAAAGTTAGCGGAAGTAGTATATGCGCGCCGCACTGCAGACTTGACGCTGACGTAGTGAAACAGTTGGAAAAGTACCGCAGGCTGCAGCTTAGCAGGAGAACTGTGAGAGAGAAAGTTGAAGCGGAGTTCTGTGAATGAAGATGGACTCTGCGGCGGTGGAGATAGACGGCAGCGTTATGGAGGGAGTGAGTATTTACCTTTTCTAATAAAGAAACGAAGGGAAAGCAGCTGGGGACCCTCCTCCGCGCTGATAATAACAGGCTAACAGAGAGCTAACAGTTAGCAGCTGCCTCGCAGCTCTCTGATGCGGCTCCTGATTCACCCCGGTGTCGGTTCTCCGCAGGGCGGACAGATCTTGAGAGTCTCAGCGGCACTCAGCTGCATCACTGGCTCCGCGATAAAGATCACCAAGATCCGGGCTGGCAGGAGCACCCCGGGACTAAGGTGGGTCAGCAGCTAACAGGCTAACATTAGCCTATTCATTAAAGTTGGTTCACTCAGTTTTAAATGAACAAAAAGCTGACAAAAATGGTTATTTTGTTTATGTTACTTTGTCCTAGCTCAGTTTAAACCTATATTAGATTTTTTTTTGGATGCTTCTGATTTTAAGCTTAAATAGATTCAGGACCAGTATCTCCAAACACAGATCAGACTTCATTAAAAATTCTGCATGAATAAGAATATTAATGAGCATCTTAAGCATCACTGAATCAGCCTGCCAGCCAATAGGAGCGTACAGTTTCATCTGAGTGTAATAAAGCCATTCCCATTATTCACTTTTCTGTGCAGCTTCCGTTTTTTTCCAGAAACATCTGCTCATTATCAATCCATCATCAGTTACCTTGTCAGTGGCCAGTTATATAAAAATAAGCTCTCCTTTACCTTAACCAGGTCTGATGTTTTCAAAAAGGGTTTTGGAAAACCTTTACAGATTTTGGCTTTTTAGATAAGCCCTCAGTAGATAAAGGTGGGACTTAATTACATTTTAAAAACAGGTTATAAGTATGTTTACAAAAGGCAATTTTTTATATAGCCACCTTGAATGGTTAACATATTGTGAAATAAAGTATTATACCTATTTCTTTGTTTATTTTGACTTTTATTAAACTGCTTTCAGTGTTTAGTGCAAATAGATATTTAATTTTTTTCCCCATCAAATCAACTTAATATTCAAACTAGCTCCCACCCTTTTAAACCCTGTGCACAAAGGAATTGCATGCACAAATGCCATTGGCCGTTAAATAATATGACGTATCCCACAAGCTTCTTATTTATTGCAATTAAAAGCTAAGATCTTTTGAGCTTCTGAAGATATGTGTAAAAACTCTGTAAGTTTACACGACTTGAGCTAAGTAACCTCAAAAATATCCCCAAAAAATCCAGCTTTGATTTGCATAAAAAAAATTTTTTTTTTAGTATTCAATTTCATGGGTATAATTCATTTTGGACATCTCCCACTCGCAACACTTATTGTACATATTGTGGACATAACTGTATACATTTCAGTTCTCTAGTCATAAGTATTGTGAAACTGACCCTTTTTGTATGCTAAATCTCCATTTGGCACGATTGATCAAAGTAGGACAAAACGTGCCAAAACTGAATTATTTGAATTTCATCACTACTTTGGCCATAAATAAATACATTTCTATATGTAGCTTTACACAACTTTTCATTCAAACACTTTTTAAAATGATATTATTACAGCAACATTTCATGGGAAATGCAACTGTATATTAATTTTCTGCGAAGTGTTACAGACAACACAGCCCCTTTATGCCAGAATAGAACATATTTTGGAATGCCAGAAGATGAAAACAAAGTAAGAACTGAAAATTATGATCCATTTGATGAAACGTTATTGGTTCACTTTCAAGTTCATGGTCGTTTTCTTTACAATTGCCTGATACTAAAGAGGTTTGCTGTGTTGGATTTTGTTTAGGAATAAACTTGCTGTAAGATATGGAACAAAATGTGATGTCAAAACAACCCGCGGTCGGAGCTAAAGGGTTAATATAATAACTCAACGGTTTTATTTTATTGTATTTTATTGTGCAGTTGTATTGTAATTGTTTAGTCTAATATCATTGAAAATATCTGGCAAATATCACAAACCAGATTGTAGAAATGCTATTAAGGCCATTTAAACAGAGTTTCCCTTTCCAAAGTATAATAATAGAATTAAATATTCCGTTAATCTACAGAATTAATTTTAGATGAATATAAAGAGTGTTACTCTTAAAACACACCCCCCAAAAAAAACTTAAGCAAGTGTTTGAACCTCAGAAAACACAGTTCATGAAATTTTAAACGGTATATTACATTTCATTTTTTTTTTGTGAAAGTAGAAAAAACATGGTTTATTTCTTTTTTTTAGGATTAATGGCAAAATAGAAACAAGGTTCTGAGAATAAGGTAAATTAAATCCTTTTTATGTTCATGAACAATTAGGAAAAGTAATTCTCTCACTTATGAAATGCTTAATTTCAAAAATCTTGAAATTCTTTCATATGGCCTAAAATTTTTTATGACATCG